GGGCCCCGGACCCGGATCTTGAGATCTGGGATGCGCCTGTTCCCGAACTTGGCGCCTGTTGCGGAAGTACCCTGGAGGCTTATTGGGGGTTGGGGGGAGCGGTTTCTAGGTAATCCGGTCTCTGACAGCAGCGCAGCGGGTGTCCGTTTTTCCGCTAGGGATCCTTCCCCACCCTTCTGCCTCCAGAAGGATCCCGTTGCACTTCCACCGTGTGTCCGGGCAGTTTCGGAGACCAGCGACAAGAGATAGCTGGAGGCAGCGGGCCTTCTCAGACAGTTTCCAGGAGATGCCCACTTGTTGTACTAGCCCAGCTCCCTTCCTTGGCTGCTGCTCCAGGCGATTCCTCTTCGCAGCGAAAACTGCCCCCCCCCCAAATCTCTGTCGCCGGATTCCTAAAGGATCCCTTCTGGTTGCAGTGGACCGAGAAGAAAAAGAGTTGAGGGAGAGGTGAGAGTGAAGAGAGCGAGAACGCGCCGAGAGCGCGTGGCTCCCATCATTTAGACTGGAACTGCGAGGTGGAGTCACCTGGCGTTCCTCACCCGAGCGCTAAAGTCTTAAAGAAAAAGAAAGAATCCCCTTCTCTTGTGAGCTTCGCCGCCCTCGCCCCCCTTGGTGATGGAGTGCACGCATCAGATTTTCATCAAAGTTCTATTAAGTGAAACATAGGTTGCAGGGCACCCTTTGATTGAAACAGTTTAAATTTTAATTGTGTTTTTAATTTGACATATAGTTGCAGAAAGGAATGACACTGCGTCGCCAAGGGGCGGTCGATTTTCTTAATTTCTCCCAGAGGAATTGATGAGTCTATCAGGCCACTAGATTGGAAACCCATTAAAGCTCTCTGGTTAGGCTGTTAATTGGAACTTGATGGATGTGGGGAGGGGGGTGTTGGGACTCGGCTATGCTGATCCAATCTTCATGACTTTCTGTTTTCCAATAAATTACACAATTCATTTTCCAGCCGCAGATTACATAAATTGTACACCTCTGGGGCTCTCTTTTTCAAATAAGGAGCCCTTTTCCCCAAAAGCCTATTGCAAGATGTCATTTGCACCAAAGAACGAACAGCAGAGGCCCTTGAATGAAAATCGAAACATAATCAACGTTTATACTTAGAAAATTTATTGAGATCATTTTCTCTGGTATTTCCTTATTTTAAAGTTTCGACGCGCCATATATCATAATCCACTCGCACAAAGGGGGGGGGGGCAGACTGTGTTTAATATTTATCGAAGCTTGATTCCAAGATCAAACTTGTTTATGACTTCATCTGTCATTTCGGAGGGAGCCTTCTTCCACTATTACCCGGCTCAGCCAGCCTATTTCCCGACTGCCGCAGAGCAGAGAGGATCAATTTTTATTAGGCTTCTCGGCAAGTTTGCTCTGGGCCGCTTTAATATTGAGCAGCAGCATAATCTCGAGACCTAAACTTTAAGCGTCCTTTCAGTCTCGGAAAGTTTATCATTCCTTGGAACTCGGTTATGCCTAATTCCCAGGAAACGGGAAGGGGAGGGGGGAGCGATCCCAAGGATGACGAGGGGCCTGAGGGGCCTGACTGTTAATCTGGTTGAACTAAGGAGGGGCGGAGCTACCCCGAAACTAGGAGGGTGGGGCGGGAGGTGGGACCGAGTGGAAGGATTACCACGCTCGAGGGCAGAGAGACGGGGTGTCTGTGGGTGGTGGTTCCTGAAGCTGAAGTTTCCTGGCCGTGTGGTTTGCAGCTGCGCTCAGCCCAGGAGAGGGCGTCTGGGTCTCTGCCTTCGCCATTAAGTCTCGGGGACCCCCCCCCAAATGCCAAGAGAGGGCGGGGAGATCCTGTCCTGGGCCTCTGGCCCCTGCAGTGGGACTGCTGTCCGTAACCGAGGGACAGCGGGAGACCCCGCCCGTGACCAGTTGAAAGGAGAGGAGGCGTGGAGGACCCGTTTGCCCGGTCTCCCCCCCCACAGCCTCTCCGCTGCAGCCTTCCCGCCTTCGGCCTGCGCCACCACCACCATCATTTCCCGGGCTCGGGGCAGTGTGTCTGGCGCTGTAGCGCACGTTTGCGGACGAATGCTTGCCACGGCGGAAGCGTTATGCCGACGCGAGCCTGAGGTTTACGGTGTTCGCGTCCGAAGAGGTGCCTGGGCGGAGGAGGAGGCTGTGCAGCAGCGCGCGCCCGTGTAGACCAGACCGTCGAAGCGATCGCGAGGAGCATAGCGAGCAGGCGGAGAACTCGGCCAGGAGGCTCCTTCAGGCTTCCCTCCCAAATTAGCCCGCGGAAGCTGGTGGTGGTGGCGGCTGGGGGTCGCGAGGCTGCACGGTTTCCTAAGAGTCCTCAAACGAGGCTGCACGCCCGCCCCCGACCCCCCGAAGCTCGCCGGGTCTGGGAGTTGCTTCTCCGAGGCTCATCCCAGAGGCCCCGCCGCTGCCACACCTGGCCACTGCCTTGGCAGAGGCCAGCTCCACCCAAACACCCGTCCGGGCGGGCTTGAGATAGCCGGGGTCCTCACAGTCTACCCCGCAGCCACTCCCAAGCTCAGCATCAATGCCTGCCCCCGCCCCTCGCCCCTTCCCCAGGGCCGCGTACAGGCAGTGGGACAACCTCGGGCTTCCATCTTGCTTACTCTACTTGGGCTGGTCACTTTTTTTCTCCTGGGCCTCAGTTTCCCCGCCTGTACACTGGGGCTAAGGATCGGCACCACAGGTTTGCTCTGAGGATTCAAGTGAAGAATGACCAGATGCGTTCTGGATAGTCCAGGTTGCCGGCGTCGAGTATTTGTTAGCTCAAAAGGGTTCAACGAAAGCCCTCCTTCTACCCCAAAGGATGTTTCTTTCCCAAAGGACGTTTCTTCCCCAGGCTCCCGCTCGCCGCGTCGGCCTGTTTCTCGCGGGGTGGGCGCAGCCCGGCCGGGAGACCCGCGCCGAGAGGTCGCAGGCTGGTGCGAGTCGGCTGTTGGTTTCCAGGATGCTCCCTTCTACCCCGCAACCGTGCGGGGGCGCGCGGGCCGGGCTGTGACGTAGCCCGGGAGCTCGCGCCGCGGCCGCGCAGAGGAGGACGCGCAAATTGTATTTCAGCACCGGGTCCTTCCGGGTTAATGAGCTGACACCATGATTAAAGCTGACCATTTGTAATGTGTCTCGACCCCGCCGCCGAGCCCTGAAGAGGTTAATGCGGTGACGGAGGCCGGCACCTGCCCCTCGCCGGCCTCCCTCCCGGGCCGTGGCGCACAGCCTCCGGCCCCCGCCCCCTCGCCTGCCCCTGCCCCCGCTGCGCCGCCGACTCCTAATCAATTAGCCCATTAACGAGCCCTTGGAGGAGTTAAGTAGGAAGAGGTTCTGCCACGGGTAGGGCTGCAGTCGGTAACTCACCGCGGCTAATGATATTATAAGCGTTTTACTCAATAACCCGGGCGCGGCGCGGGCGAGGAGGGAACTGCACCGTCATGGGGACAGCGTCTGGACATTTGTGGGGAGAGTCTCCCCTCTCCCTTGGCTGCATTTGGGGGGGCACCGTAGGGTCAGGGCTCCTGGGATCATTTGGCCGAGCCGTACCGGAGGCTGCAGACCCGGGGCTGAGGTCGCCTGAGCGCCTTGGAGTCTTGCCTCACCTTGGGTTCCTCGAGGCTTGTGTAGACAACTGTGCCCCCGAAACGTTTTGCCTGCGTCGCGTGGGTTCCGCATCTGGTACCAGTTGATCTGGGAATTAAAAGAGCAGGAGTCAGGGCTTTGATGGGGGCGTGCAAACACCTTAGGGAACTTATGGGTAACCGAGCGCCTACCGCAAGTTGTGCTCAGAATTAGCACTTTGACCTCATTTAGCTTCTTCGAGGTGATCGTCGCTTTCCCCTAATTTAAAAAATGAGAAAACCAAGGCTCAGAAAGTTTAAGAATCCTGTTCAAGGTCACCTCCCCATTTGAATACCCTTTGCCTAATCCTAAAACTATGGTCCTCACCTCTTTCTCCCCTTTCCTGGAGCAAATCGCTATTTTTGTAGCAATTCCCAGATCTCCAATATTTACCTAAAAACGAGAGTCAGGGAAGACAAGGCCGAGCTTTGGGCTGTTTACAGAGGTTTACAGGGTACCTTTCATTCTTACCTAGGCCATTCTCAAAACAGGTGAAGGGAAGGGGATATTAATGGGTGCGTATCACCTATGAAGCCAGTGAGGCTCTGATTGGGACTTGACTTGTCCAAGTTCACCTAGCGTGTAAATGGTGGTGCTGGGACTTGAACCTGGATCTCCCGAAACAAGATCTAGGGCCTCCCCACCCCCCATAACGATCATGCAGTCCTGCTGGGCCTGTGACAAGGTTGGGGTCTCTAGGGAGGAAGGGCCAAAGTTGTCTGCTCCCAGGCCTCCTAGTTAAGCTGCTAGGAAGAGCATCAGTTCCCGTGCGCACGCTCCTAAATCCCACGACCCTCAGCCTCCCCCGCGGGGCGCAGAGGCCTGCCAGCCCTACCAGCCTGCCCAGCAGAGAAGGGATGAGGGTCATGGGGAGATGGGGAGGGTCATGGCGCAGCCTGTGAGCCCCTTTGAGGGTGCGAGGACCTGTCGCCTAAAGGAGGCGTGGGGCCACTCCTGTTCTGAGCCCCGGGCTGCCCTTGTCTCTCGAGAGGGCCGGGGTCTGAGCCATCAGAGATGCCACAGAGGCTAGGAACCTGGCTGTCATCCATCCTGCTTTCTGTCCAGGCTAGTTGGACACAGCAGATGCCCGCTGGACTCTTCGCGAGCTCGGGGGAGGACAGGGGCTGTGAGAGCCGGGCCTGTGCTTTTTGAAATTTTCCGGGGCCGCTCCGCGGCGCTGCGATTGGCCGCGTCCGAGTAACCTCTATGCAAATGAGGCCGCGCCACCTCCGCGCCGCCGGGGATCCGGCGAGCTGGCGGGCAAGGAAGGGGCATTCGCGCCGGGGCTGGGCGGGCGCACCTGAAGCCGGGCGGGCAGGGACCCCAGCGCAGCTGTCGGGTGCCCGCGTTTCCCCAGCGCAGAGGGGACTCCTCGCCAGCTTCGCCGACCAGATCATCTCTAAAGGGAGTTCTTGGTTTCCTCCGATTTCTTATGAACCCAGGATGGGCAGCAAGGAAGATGCGGGCAAGGGGTGTCCGGCGGCCGGCGGCGTATCCAGCTTCACCATTCAGTCCATCCTGGGCGGGGGCCCCTCGGAGGCGCCGAGGGAGCCGGCCGCCTGGCCGGCCAGGAAGCGCAGCCTGTCCGTGTCCTCGGAGGAGGAGGAGCCGGACGACGGCTGGAAGGCACCCGCCTGCTTCTGCCCAGACCCGCACGGCCCCAAGGAGCCCGGCTCCAAGCACCACCCCCCCATCCCCTTTCCTTGCCTGGGTAAGGATGGCAAGCCGCCGGGTTGGCCTGGAGCAAGCTCTAGGGGAGGGAAACTGTGCCGGGGCTCTCGCGTCGGACCCCCCCCGCCCCCGGCCAGAGACGCGGCGGCGCGGGGTCCGGGGCCGAGGGTGGGGACGGGGAGAGGCGCGCTCCTCGCTGACTCCTCCGCCCCGCGGGCGCTCGGAAAGAAACCCGGAACACGGATGCCGCGCGGCGCGGTTTGGGGGAAGGTTGGTTTGAAGGGAGTGTGTGTGTGGGTTTGGCACAGGGCCGGCCGCTCTCAAGGCTCTGCCCGCAATATCCCCTTTGCACATCGGATACTTTCTGCACACGAGGTCTGGAACTCGGATCTGAGCGGTCCGTCCGTCCTTCTCTACCGCAGTCTCCTTCTGCGTCCTTTTCTTCTCTCTCTTCCCCTCTCTCGACCTCTGCCTCTCTTTCTCCCCTCCTCCTCCTCGGAATGATTAGCACTCCAAGATGATTGACAATGGTGCCTTTCAGAGATGGTTCCTCTTTACAACATCTGACCAAGGGGAGCCCCGTGTCAGTCCTCAGCGTGATTTCCGAACAAACGGCCTGTGAAACGATGCCACCCTATAAAGATCAGGGAACTCTTCCAGCTCAGTTACTACAAGGCAAAATCATCTTTTACAAAGATGCTAATATTCCCCCTCCAGACTTCCTCCCCTGTTGCTACAGGTCCTTTCAGGAAGCTGGGAGCACAGAGACCCCAGGCTCCAAGTAGCTGGGTCCCTCTCCTGTTGCTTTTCAAAAGCCGGGTGCCGCTTTCTGGGTTTCAGCGAGAGGGCGAGACGAGTAGGGGCTGAGATCCAGGAAGATGGGAACCAAGGCTGCAGGCACCAGCCAAGCCCCTGGTCCTAGCAGGAGCTGGGGGTCCCTGAGGCCCCCCAACTCCATGGCCCTCCTGTCTGTTCTCACTCCCCAGGTACCCCCAAGGGCAGCGGAGGCGCGGGGCCGGCGAGCTCGGAGCGCAAGCCTTTCCTTTCTTCTTCGCACCCGGACTTTAAGGAAGAGAAAGACAGGCTCTTGCCCGCGGGCTCACCGTCGCCGGGGCCCGAGCGGCCGCGGGACAGCGGCGGCGCCGAGCGGCAGGCGGGCGCGGCCAAGAAGAAGACGCGCACGGTCTTCTCGCGCAGCCAGGTGTACCAGCTCGAATCCACCTTCGACATGAAGCGCTACCTGAGCAGCTCGGAGCGCGCCTGCCTCGCCTCCAGCCTGCAGCTCACCGAGACCCAGGTCAAGACTTGGTTCCAGAACCGCCGCAACAAGTGGAAGCGGCAGCTCTCTGCCGAACTGGAGGCGGCCAACATGGCGCACGCGTCGGCGCAGACTCTGGTGGGCATGCCGCTGGTGTTCCGGGACAGCTCGCTGCTGCGCGTGCCGGTGCCGCGCTCGCTCGCCTTCCCCGCGCCGCTCTACTACCCGGGCAGCAACCTCTCGGCCTTACCTCTCTACAACCTGTACAACAAGCTCGACTACTGATAGCGGCCCGCCGGCCCCGCGCCGCGCGCCCTCCCGTCCGCTCCCCGCCAGGCTGGCGCGGGCTGCCCCCACCCCCCACTCCGGAGCAGGCGGCGCGTTTCCAGAAATATTACGAAATACACCATGTGTATTCATTATCTCTTATTTATGGCTTCTGCCCTACTTTGGTTTGATTGTTTCTGGTATTTATCGGCATCCCTCCAGCCAGATCATTTGCTCTCTACCCGCCCCCCCAAACAAACCAATACATTTTGAAAACCATTTTGGAGGCGACGTTCTAGGGTGGTGGTGGGACAGGGAGTTTCGGTCAGATCGACACTGGCCGGTAGGACCAAAAAAAAAAAAAAAAATCAGGAAAAAACCCCCACCAAACCAGATACATTCTTCTCCCCGTACATATACCTGTATATATGTACACGCCCACACGGCCGGCCAAGCCAGTCCTTGGGGGCTTTGAACAATGATCTCAACGCCTCTTTCCATTTCCCTTGTCCCGAGAATAGATAGGGGCGAAAGGGGGATAAATTTCAGATCTGTAAATATTTTTAAAAAGAAAAAATAAAACATTTTAAGCATCGTTGCTAACTTTGGTGCAATTGATTGGCCAGCGTGCTAACGCGCAGGTTTTTGTTGCTTTTTCACGGACAGTGCAGGAGTGCGTCAGAGGAGGTATGGCTCTCCCCACATGGAATGTGGGGCGGAGGTCAGAGGTTAAAGGTCGGGCGCCGCCGAGATGGCACGTGGGTTGGAGGCGCACCCCATTCCACTAGCCTGTGCAGAGACTCAGCCCGGCAGGGATCCAGCTCACGGGGCGCCGAGAGGGATAGATGCGGGACTGCAGTTGCCAAAGCAGTTGCCTCCTGGAACGAGCTTCTTTCTAGTCCTGGGAGCGGCTTGGGGTTGGCGGCAGCACGGGGCCGTGCGACGTGGTCCAGTCAGTGACAGGAGCCTCCTCTCCGAGGGCACAGGGCAGGTGGGGCGGCCCTGCCCGGATCAGGTGTCCAGCCCGGTTTCCTCGTCCCCCAACCTGGCGCGACAAGACTTACAGCCGCTCGCAGTTCCCAAGCCGGTGGCAGGGTTGCGCGTCCGGCGCGGCGCAGGAACAGGGCACAGGGAGGCGGCCCTTCGACAGAGGAGGGATGAGGCCCAAGACCGGGCAAAGAAAGCTAAGAAGGCAAAGGCTCCTCCCCACACTTTTTGTTGTTGTTCGTGGTTTTGCATGGAGCGTGGCTAAGTGGCCCGGTGTCGGGCAGGCACGTGGCAGCTGGCACTGAATGGAACCTTGATGCGCTGTCTACGAGCCCACGGACTTCAGCGCCCCAACACCTGCCGCCGCACCCTGGCTTGGGAGGGCGCGGCATCAAGACGACAGAGGCGCGCGAGTGTCATGCAAATCGCAGGCTTGCAGTGTGAGACCGCAGCCACCTGTTCCTTGTAAAATGTCGGAAAAAAAAAAATAGCCTGAGCTTTCAGGAGGCTGACGGTTCAGTGTCACGTGAGGCGAGCTCCAGGGTTCTCCGGCCCGAGCTACTCCTTAGCCGCTGCTAAGGTGCTGGGAGTCAGCAGCGCGGAGGCCTGATCTCATCCTCTAGAAGGAAAACCTCGACTTGATGGACCGGTCTCTTGGAGTCAAGAGACATGGAAATTATCTGCAGTTTGTGAAAGTATGCAGGATATCTGTAATTCGTCTATGTGATCCACAGTATCATGTCTAAAATACCTGAAGCTTTATTCATATTTGAGGTTTCTATTTTTTTTCTTCTCACGTTAAATTTCATGAAATTTACAATCTATTTCAAGATGACACCTGAAGGATGCTACCCAAGAACCCATGTGCCGAAGTTGTTAGGTCAATTGCATTTATTTCATTCCAGATGAGTTCAATAAATATTCACTGAATCCTAGTAAATAGGGCTGGGAACTATGCTAGATATCGGCCAGTCAGAGAGAGAAAACTAACACTGCATCTTTCTTCTGATATTTTTGGTACACATATTTCAATGAAGTTCTCCCCTTCCAGATAGCCCGCTTTAAAATTTTCTTTTCCTCTCGAGTTGCTCTTTGAATATTCTATGCAAAATTAAGGCAAATTGCCTTCAAGGAACTACTTGTAAAGAAATATTTCATCCATATCATTTGGTCGGCACTTCCATAGATTGTTTTTAAAAAAGTGATGATGGTTTTAACAGCATTAGATCACTATATCTTTCTTGGGCTTACTTCTTTTATAGGAAGTGGTTTTGTGTAGACAGTTAACGGCAAAGTAGTTTTTGCCCTTAGGATTTTAGGGATGATCCATTTTGTTTCTCGTATAGTGGGAACTTCACTTTTTTACTAATCCAGAAATTAGGAGTCAAAGGTGATCCAACAGTGTGATTAGTTTCTAGAAATTCCTCTTTCTTATAGGTAACTAAGTACACACACACACACACTCACACACGCACACACAGCTTTGCATTTGGATTTAAGATGTTGTTCAAGACTCCATTGTGGCCAGATTTCCGATCTCAAGACTATCAATTCATTTGAATAATCAGCAAAATCATCAGCCTCCTTTCAGCCTCTAAACTGGATTTAAAAGATTGACGTTTCTTAAAACTCAAATCGAGTCCGGCTGCAAATGCCTGTCCAGAGGGACCTGAATCATACACACACTGGATAATGAAATACACTTAGATTTTATTAGTGGATAATTCATGCTCAGAATCTTGAGCACTAGTAGAATTAAATAAACAACTGGGAGAGGGAACCAAATAAAATTATTTGGAGATAAAATTATTTAGCCAAAATTAGAATGGAGGTAAGGCACTGCACTTTAAAATTCTTAACCTAGCCATCAAGTTGTTGAAAGAGGAGAGAGAGAAAACCAAGTATAAGGACTGGTGAGGATGCTGGGAAAGACTGAAGGTGGGAGGAGAAGGGGATGTCAGAGGATAAGATGGTTGGATGGCATCACCAACTCAATGAACATGAGTTTGAGCAAGCTCTGGGAGTTGGTGATGGACAGGGAAGCCTGTCCTGCTGCAGTCCATGGGGTTGCAAAGAGTTGGACACGATTTGAGCAGCTGAACTGAGGGGAAGAATCTGTACTTTTGGCAGGAACATCATCAATACACTGGGCAGAAGAGTGGTGGTTATATGTTTACTGTATCACGATTCATAAAAAGAAGTGCACCTGAGTCAGTGTATATGAATGCATAAGGACCAATAGCACCTTTTCTCTGTTGCCTTATAAATTAAACACTTTAACCTCAACAATTTTCTCCCACTTCATACAAGATTGTATAATAAAGTAAGATTTTTTTCCCCCACAACACAAAAGGCAGTGAAAAAGATGGTATAGCATGGATTAAATTGAAAAAATTTAGCATGCTTTTGATACTCAATATTAGCTGAGTCACAGCATTCTAGTTATTAAGTATTGCTTTTCTTTCATGGAGATCAAAGTGTTTCTCATTACAGAAGCAACCTTCTTGATTCTCCTATTTCTGGAGGATTCTAGAAACAGAAAATAGAGCAAACAGAGCCTGTATGTCTAGGGTGTTGTTGGGGTGTGACAGAGTGGAATAGAGAGAAGCTTGTAGCTGTCATTTTAAGGTCCTACTTGGACATATGTCTGTAAGAGGCTTTTGAGCTTTAACACACTTAAGAGTAATTATCTGTTTCCCAGTCTGTCCAACCTTCTGGAAAAACAGTTCCTCCAGAGCAAGAACTGATCCGATTAATGCTTTTCCTCAGCCTTCTCACTAGGCCTGGCAAGAACTGGGTGCTCAATAAATGTCTTCAGAAAGATGGAATGAAGAGATAAAGCAGAGTATAAATAAGGATGAGTTTCTCTTAAGTCAGAAGATCCTCGACAAAAGGAAATGTGAGCGCCTGCCTCATAGGTGGAAAGTCCAGGAAAATGAGAAAAAAGTGGGGCAAAACATTCGTTAGAGCAAATCTTTTCTTCTCCACTCTAACTTTGGTAAACTTTCCCGGATATGCACGTCCAGTAGAAGGGAGACTAATTCAGTCCTACTAAAAATACAGACCAAAATGGGGTTCTTGTGTCCGAGACACGGGGAGGGCTCCAAGAGTCAAATGGAAAGAGCATTTTTCCCGCCTACTATTTAGAGGACAGGACAAGCGTTTGCCACAGGACTACATTTCCCAGCATGCCCCATAAGAACAGGAGCGGGCGTGAGCTCCGCCTTGGCGCGATGCTCTTTGGGAGTTGTAGTTTTCACGCGTCCAGCACCGGCGGGGCTCCAGAGCCTGGTGGCGGAAAGCAGTCACGTGATCGGAAAGGCTGCCGTTTGCCTTTGTGCCGGAAAAGGTTGACTGGGTCGCCCGAGCCCGGGGCCTCGGGACGGACCAATCGACTGCCTTAGAAGGAGACGTTGGCGTTTGAAATCAGCCAATGACAGTCTTTGTCTGGAGCTTTGTCTCCGCCTACTTCGCCCGACGCGCGAGAGCGGCGAGGGAAGCGAGGCGGCGGCGACTGGTGGCGGGCGCGGCGGCTGAGTTGCTTCTGGAGGGACTCCGAGGTAGCGGGGCGAGGCGGCCGGGCGCAGGCACGGGCTTTCCGGGGATGGCCCCGGGGTTCCCGAGCCGGCGGAGCAGTCCGCTGGGAACCGGGTTTACTTCCACGGCTTTTCCATTTTATTTTAGGAGCACACGGGGCGGTAGGCCCCGGGGGAAGGGGCGGGGGCGGGGGCGGGGAGAGGCCGGCGTGCAGAAGCCCGCGTCTGGGGAGAGTGTGGATCTGGCGGGCGAGGCTGGAGTCAGGGGTATGGCGGCGCGGGCCCGGCCGGTAGGGAAGGAGGAGCGTCAGGGAAGGGGGCGATGAGGCCCGACCGGCGAGGGCGCGGCGGCCCCGCGCAGGCGCAGAGGCCGCGTCGCCGGCCTCTCCCTCGGTCCCGCCCCTCAGGGACACCCCCTACCTACTCGCCGGCCCTTCTGCGAGTCGAGCCCCGCGACCCCGGCCCCTTGAGGGACCCTCCCCCACCCCCACCTGCTGCCTGGCCCTTCTGCGAGTCGAGCCTCGCGACCCCGGCCCCTTGGGGAGACTCTCACCAGGCGCTTGTTCCTTAGATGACCGGTTCTAACGAGTTCAAGCTGAACCAGCCCCCCGAGGATGGCATCTCCTCTGTGAAGTTCAGCCCCAACACGTCGCAGTTCCTGCTAGTCTCCTCTTGGGACACGTCCGTGCGCCTCTACGATGTGCCGGCCAACTCCATGCGACTCAAGTACCAGCACACCGGCGCGGTCCTGGACTGCGCCTTCTACGTAGGTGTTCTCCGTCTCCGCTCCTGCATCCT